GTTGAATATCATGCGATTGTAGGTATTCAAACTGAATAATGCGATTGCATTCTATAAAGGAAAATTGATCATTAGATGTAATGGTTAGATTAATTAACCCGATGAACATAAGTTAAACAGGTCAAAACTATTGCGATTGCATAGTTGAGATACTGTATTCAACCAAATGCTAGGCGATAGTCTAGATAGGGTTTTCAATTGAATTTGAGAATTCTGAATTCAATTGGGATTAATCACAAATTGATAATTTTATCTTTTTATCCAATGACGAAATAAATTAATGAATCCTAATTCCTTAGGTTGATTGCTTCTAATTCTGATTTTTAAATCCCAATTTCAATTTTGTTTTTATTTAAATTTTAAATCAATAAAATCCCGCTTCCCTTTTTATATTTTATTTTACAGAGCGTTTCTTATTTCTAGCAGGCTCTTTGAGAGACGATCTGAGTTGCTCTATCACTACAAACCTAAAGCTCGGTAACTTGCGTGGGTTTGACAGCTCAAGTCAGTCATCTGAAACCAATTCCTCTGAACCAGAATCAGCCTCTGAAGAAAATCAATCCCAGATATTTGATCCTATGTCATATTTTTTAGAAGTTGCATATGCTAATGTTATTGGGATACTATGGTTAGAACTGCAGAATGAAGAATTGAGTCATGGTATGATTCTCCTGACTCTGAGGCTGAAGGTGTTGCTAGTAGAAATCAAAGCAAAAAGTCCACAAGTGTTGCTGGACCATGGTTTACACTTGATGATATTCCTCCAGCTCAAAGGAGAAAAAGACTTTTAGAATTTTGAGCTTGAATTGATAAAAAGTTACTTGTTGCTGATACTGATCCTTACAAAGTTATTGAATAATTTTGTTCTAGAATGATAGGCTCACTCCAAGAATGGTATCTTAACTATTAATTTTGAATTGATTTGCATAATTTTAATCATCATTAATTTTTTTTGTTATAACAAATATTATGGTTCGACTCAACCTAGATTATAATTGGTACATAAGCAGTGGTAGAGCCACGTTTTGTGTGTGTGGGGGTGGGGGGGGGGGCTTGGCCCCAATTTATTTTTGAAAATTAGCCACGTTTTTAACATGGTTAAATTTCTGGATAAAATTTAGTGTTAAACTTCACCTAATTTAAAGATATCGGCCTAGCAAGACAGATACTCAGAATGAAGATTGTCTGGGATGGCTCAAAGAAGCTATTGTGTATCTCAGGAGATGTACATAGAGAAAATCCCAAAGAGGTTCAATATGGACCAATACAAGACAATCAACACTCCTCTGGCTGGACACTTTAAGTTAAGTCAGAAGCAGGGTCCAACCAGTGATGAAGAAAGAGACGAGATATCAAAGGTTCCATATCAGTCAACTATAAACAGTCTTATATATGCTATGATATGCATAAGGTCTGACCTTACTCAAGCAATCGAGGTTGTAATTCGATTTCTATCGAACTCGGGTAAGGAACATTTGGACGCCATTAGATGAATATTCAGATGTCTCAAAGGCAAAGTAAGCAGGTGTTTGTGCTTTGGGAGAGGAAAATTCGAGTTAGAAGCCTACTCAGATGCCGACTTGGGTGGAGATGACTACTCGAGGAAGTCGACCACAGGTCGCCTGACTACCTTTGTAGGGGGAGATAATTTTTGGCGGTCCAAACTCTAGAAATGTGTCCCCCAATTTACTACCGGGACCGATTACATTGCTGCAACTGAAGCTTGCAAGGAGCTAGTGTGGATGAAGAGTTTTCTATAGGAGCTCGACCATAGTCAGAAGAAGTATGTGCTAAAGTGTGATAACCAGAGTGCTATACACTTAGCGAAGAACTCAACATTCTATGCATAGTTAAAGCACATAGACATGTGATACCATTAGATTCGAGAAGTGATAGAAAATAAGTTTATGCAACTCAACAAAGTCCATACTGACTTGAAATGGTTGGACATGATGACCAAGTCGGTTCCAATATGAAAGTTTGAAGATTACTGTGAAGGTGTCATGTTGACTACTCCGGCCCCATATTATCTTTCAAAGAGAATATAAATAAATTGTGTTGTCAAACATTTTTTTTAATCCAAAATTACTTCGCAATCATATAAATAAAAAAATATTTTTTTCTAAAAACGGAGAAAAAAATGATTATCATACTCATTCTAAATGATTTAAAAAAAAATGAGAGAGTAAGTGATAAAAAATAAATCACATAATTTTTTTATAAATTATTTTAATGTCATAAATATATGATAGAGTAGTGTGTGATTATGTTATGATTTATATGATTTAAAAATCGGAGTGATTTATGACTATGTATATTTCTAGGGTATCTCAAGAGTTAATATTTAAATCCTTTTAAATTACTTCAGATATGTTAATAATAACTTTTCGAGATTTCAAATTGTTCCCTTACTCTAGACATTGATGTTCACCCCGAACACAAATTGATATCAAAATTCATGGAGGTATGAATTAAAAAATGGCATTAAACCAAACAAAATACGCTGAAAGAGAAAATATTGACAATTCGTTTCGATTAAACAAGATATTCCAATGAGATATCCCGTGGATATAAATAATAAATACCTCAGTCACACTCACACCTTTCGATCACTTCTAAGGCCAAACAAATTGCAAAAATCAAAACGTTTGAATCAACCATCACTTTCTAAAATATAATGACATGTAAAACTTGCCATCAAGACTGATGCATGCAGCATGCTTGACATATATCTTCATGATATCTACTTTTCAATGCATATTAATTCCATTTATTATGATTATTTCTTTCTAAAATATGCTTCTTTTGCTTATGTGGTTGGGGCACTGCAATTCTACTGATTTGGAAATGGTTAAAGGACAGATTCTTTCTTACATTGTTTTAATAGAAAAATTTAAAAACATCCATCAAGAATAATCATATTTTTTTATTTACTAAAAAAAGGAATTCTCATAATTTTTGTAAACTTTTCTATTTTTAGTAGTCTACGTATGTAAAATCATTACACCATATCGCACTTATAATAATAATACTCCAAGAAAAATAAAATAAAAAACACTTGCTCACGTAGAATTTACACTTAAGTGTTTAGGAAAAAGTTATATTTATTATCTATTTTTTTATATTATTTTTTACTATCAAATTTTAATAATTGATTTTCGTTGAACTAACGATTATAATTTATTAAAAATTAATTAATAAATATGACTCCATAAATTATAATCGTTAAATTGATAAAAATCAATAATTAAAATTTAATAATAGAAGATAATAAAAAAAATTTATGGGCCTGTTTGATTGTGTTCTGATTTTTTTGTTCTTAAAACTGTTTTGTAAAATAGTTATGGAAACAGTTATTTTCTATATTTTTTTCATTTTGAAAGTTAAAAACCAAAAGAGAAAACAAAGGGTGTGTTTGAATGTGATTTTGTTTTTTTGTTTTTAAAAACTGTTTTGAAGATAAATTTTGAAAACTGATTTTAGAGTAAAAAAACAATAAAACTTGTTTGATATAGTTAGTTTTGAAGTTATAAAGAAGTTGTAATTATTTACATAAATGCCATTAATGAATCCTCGTATTTACAAGATTGCCATCGCAAAATAATTTAAAATTAAAATAAAAAACAATTTAATTACGAAAATGCCATTAATGAAACTCTCTAATTACAAGAATGCCACTGCACAAAAAAAAAACAAAGGAACAACTTTTGAAAACATCTACTAGTTGTTTTCCTTTTTTAGTTTTTAAAACAAAAAACGAAATTGTTATGGACCTGACAAAGGCCCATATTCTAGAAAGACTAATAAAGGACAACATAAAAGGGAAGGAATCTCCTATTGATGACGATCATATCCAGACAGCTAAGCAGTTGGACTTGGGCCCCCAATATTCCTAAGAGGCCCAGAAGTACACTCCTTCAGGTAACCCATATATAAATAAAGGGGTTAAACTAATAAGGTACACACTCTCTAAACTCTCTCTCTTAGCTTGTCACTGTACACACACTCCACGCCTTGACTATGTCGATTATTATTGTGCACAGTGATCGGCCTACTCTCAAGGGTATCTCATTCATAGATACTTGAGAGAGGGCACCTAGATCCTACATAAAATATACCAGCCACCGGTTGGACATCTCTGTCTTTCAGACAGAACAGAAATGCTGTTTTGAAAACAAATATGGTGAAAACACTTTTTTCAAACAACTTTTTTTGTTTTGTTGTTTTTAAAACTTAAAAACTGTTTTCAAAAACAGAAATCAATCGAACCTAAAAACAACTCAGACATGTTCTTTAAATTTGATTTTAAAAACAAAAAAACAATTATAATTTTTAAAATATTTTTTACAAAACAGGTCTTACCAAACGAGTTTTTTAATTTTTTTTGTTCTGAAAACTAAAAAACTGTTTTGCAGAACAATATTCAAACAGAGCCTACTGTGTGCGCAAAACAGTTCTAAAACAATTTTTTTTGTGCGCAAAACAGTATTCAATCATTAACGTCCGAGAATTTATCTGCACACGGATACTGCATATGTAATGGGCCGTTGGCATCCATACTAGATATGCACAAGCCTAGTGTGTGCGCCACACGTGCCCAAACATGCACAACACAAACACCCCCTGCATTTACGACACGTGTACTTAATATCATCAACACGGTCGAGGCTTTCCATTCAAAACGACAACACTAACAGCGTACACAGCACTCTTCATTTCAATTTCAAAGCCCCACAACACTAACAACGCGCCAAATCAAATTTCCCACCAGAACACAATTTCCTAACCAATAATCCCTTCATTTCCATAATTACCCCTCCCGTTTCAAACACATCAAATCAAAGTCCTCCACCAACCATAATCCAAAGGGTATATTCGTAAAATACAAACCCTCAAGGGAATTTTCCATCTCCGAAATCCCCAAATTACCCCCTTCTTCGTTGAGTTCAGTCTTCTCCCACAAGCTTTCTGAAAACCCCAAAATTTTGAAATTACCCGCTCCCATTTTCAATGTTTTCAAATTTTTCCTTCCTCCCTCTGTATTTAAATCCCTGAATCTTCTTCATTTTCCCCAACCCTCAACAGCATTCAAATTCTCTTCTTTCTTCTCGAAACCCCTTCAATTCCCAAACACAACAATGCCTGCGATTCCAGAAGAACCGCTTCTAGCTCCAAACCCAGATCGCTTCTGCATGTTCCCAATCCATTACCCCGAAATCTGGGAAATGTACAAAAAACACGAAGCATCCTTCTGGACCGCCGAAGAGGTTGATCTCTCACAGGATCTCGGCCACTGGAACTCCCTCACCGACGGAGAGCGTCACTTCGTGACCCACATTCTCGCCTTCTTCGCCGCCTCCGACGGCATCGTCCTCGAAAATCTCGCCGGAAGGTTCATGAAGGAAATTCAAGTCGCCGAGGCACGTGCCTTCTATGGCTTCCAGATCGCCATCGAGAATATCCACTCCGAGATGTACAGTCTCCTTCTCGAAACCTACATCAAAGACCCCACCGAGAAGAATCGTTTGTTCCACGCCATCGAAACCATTCCCTGTGTCGCGAAGAAGGCTGAGTGGGCCCTACGCTGGATCGACGGTTCCGAAACCTTCGCGGAACGCCTCGTGGCCTTCGCATGCGTCGAAGGGATTTTCTTCTCTGGAAGCTTCTGCTCGATATTTTGGCTTAAAAAGCGCGGGTTGATGCCGGGACTCACCTTCTCGAACGAACTCATCTCGCGAGATGAAGGTCTCCATTGCGATTTCGCTTGTTTGTTGTATTCTCTTATGAGGAAGAAGCTGAGCGAGGAGCGCGTGAAGGGGATCGTGCGTGATGCGGTGGAGATAGAGAGGGAGTTTGTCTGCGACGCGCTTCCTTGCGCTTTGGTGGGGATGAATGGGGATTTGATGAGTCAGTACATTGAGTTTGTTGCGGATCGGTTGCTGGTTGCGCTTGGGTGTGGGAAGGTGTACAATGTTCAGAACCCCTTTGATTGGATGGAGCTGATTTCACTTCAGGGAAAGACTAACTTCTTCGAAAAGCGCGTCGGCGAGTACCAGATGGCTTCCGTTATGTCTAGCTTGAACGGAAACGGTGGTGCACACGTCTTCAAGATGGATGAGGATTTCTAATTTATTTATTTTCCTTGTTTCTTGTGTAATAATCAGAATATTCCCTGTCACTGTTAGTTTAGGTTAATGTATTTTTTACTTTTTAAGCAATAGTTGTTTTTATTTGTGGTTATGTTCTATGGTTTGTTTTTTATATCTCAGTGAGAAATGATAAGGTATAAATTCAGAATATCAAGCTTGATTAATATTTATTGTTGTTCCTTATTTTTTATTGCTTGAGTAAGTTTATATTTTGATTTGATTACACGAAGAAGGAAAAACATAGGATTTTTTTTTTTTTTTTTTTTTTAATAAACTACGTTATATTTGAAGTGAAAATTTTTATCTTGTGGTAAATAATTACGAAATTTCTTTGGGTAATTTTGCATAAATAAGTGAAATATCTCAATGGTTTCTTCAAAGGAATAAATAAAATTGACTTGGGTGTGGCTTGTTCCTGCTGAAGAGAGCATAGTTTGTATTCACCGTTATGTCAATGACAACTGAGATGCAGAGCACTGAAATGCTGTCTAGAGCACAGCTTTTCCATCTTTTCGATCGTTTCAGTTACCTTACTTCCCAACCGGGTACTTTGTTTTTGTTTCCCCCATTTCTTTTACTGTTTTGATTGATTCCCCGATCCCTTTTGATTTCTTTGCAATTTGGTCGTGCTTGTAATTTGCAGACGTGAAGAAAAGGATTGCAGAGGCTGTACAGGATAAGCAGGTGAATTTTTTTAGGACATTTATTATTACTATTGTTTTGAATTTATTTTGTTCGTCCTATTTTTACTATTTTTTTGCGTCTTAAAATTCTGTTTGAATCGGACAGCGTATCTTCAATGTGAGGTGACTTTGCTGTTCATGGTATTTTATATTCCAGTTTTCAGGAACGTCCTTGATTTTAGGAATTGATAATGGGCTTGTGAAGGAAAAAAAATTATGTGGGTACCCGGAAGAAATTGGACTTTGTTTCCTTATTAGCCTCTTAACTCCGGTTAATTAGTTACTTTATTCTTTAATTTGAATTCATTAAGTGTGAGTGTGTGACGGCTGAGCTGAATAACTAGAACCTTAGTACACGTTTTATCCTTTAGGCTAGCATCTGTGTGTGTGTGTGTTGGGGTTTAATTATGTGGAGAGAAGTATTTGAATGCTGGATATATCTAATAAAAGTGCATGCCAGTTTGATATTATACTTTTGCCCTAAGTCCATGTGATAAAAATCAGTATATAATGCATTTTGCTGTCATTTTCTGGAAATCACAACTGATGAGCAGGAAGCTGTTGGTGTAACCACTGCAATACAGGAAGAGATATTTTTGGAGATGGGTGTTGGTATGTTGTATTCTGATATGTTAGTTGTTGTTTGTAGTATTGGTACCTAATTTTTCATGTCATTAATCTGTGCCATGATGACATTATTTGTGTTAACTTAGCTCAGCTGCTGACTGCTGCAATACCACGAATGCCATCATTCTAATATATATGCCTGCTTGTCTCACGATGCTTTATGGGATTGGGATATTCACTTGTTAGCAATGAAAGAGAAACAAACTCATAAATAGTGGATTAAATCATCTTGGACTCTTGGTAGTCAAATATGATATGCTTCTTGGTCTTGGTACTTGTGATGAAAATGAGTTGACACTATACATTATAGGTGATACTTTTTCGTCCACATGCTAGACATGCCAATGCACATATAGTTTTAGAATTTATTGTTGCCTGAAATCATGTCCGGAGTATGGCTTGGAGGGGTTGTATGCTATTGTTCCCTCCCTCCCTCCGTTTTCTGTAAAGTTCCTGGTTATTATTCTCCCAAATAAAGCTTTAGAATACTGCATTTGTCACATGATGGGAATAACATTTAATTTTTTTTTTTTTTAATCTTTCTTTTATTGTACTTCACATTTCTTTTCCTTCTATCTTAGTTTAGGATAGCTGTGGGGGTAATTTAGGCATCTTGATACAGGGAATGATTGTATGCAGAATCTGTTTTATCATCTAACCATACTTGATACTAATTTATTCTGAAACTCTTAGTTATCAGAAGAAAGCAGTCATGCTTGTTACTAAACCATCAGGTGGCTATTTATATTTTCACAATCATATCAGACTATCAGTGTCTTGAGGCTATCTTCTGTTTGATATGACTATTGTGGAGTAGAAGTTTGTTTTGCCATTATTGTTGTTATTATTATTATTATTGTTGTTATTGTTATATTATTATTATTATTTATACAACAGATCCAAGATTTGGTATTTCGTGCCTGGGGAAAGTCAGTACTGCATATGAGAATGACCGGGATTTGGTGATTCAGTTTTATAAATTTCTTGTAAAGTAAGTTCTTTCTAGCATTCACTCCCTTGTTGACATTTTCTCTTCAATTCTTATTTCTTAAAACAAGTGATTTAGAAAGTGACCATACCATGCCTATATCTTTTCTAGCTTTGAGTTGTAATGACTTTTTAAGAGCTGAATGAAGATTCCCACCTATTAAGTTGTACATTGGGAAGAAGTTACATGAGAAGCAGGGGGTCAGCTCCACAAGTATGCATGACTAGCAAGGGGAGTAACTAAAATCCTAGGTGGCATGGGTTTCATGATGGAGAGAGAGAAAAAACAGTGGAACAGCTTGGGTATATGGGAATGGAGGGAAAGAGAGTGTGGGAATTAGCCCAGGCCTCTTGAAGAATTTTGGATATCTGCATTTTCTTCTGTTGTGGAGAGAGGAACTGAGGAAGAGAGTTTATACTATTTTCTCTACAAATTTTCCTGTGTTACTGATATTACATGGTATCAGAGGCAGAATTTCAGTGATAGTACAATACTGTTCAGCTATTTTTGGTCCATTTGTGTAACTGAATAAATGGGCTAGCTTAATATTTCCACCATATTTAAGGGATACAAGCCTTACATCCTTTGAAGCCATAGAAACTACAGTATGTCTTGGAATTAGTGTTAAATGCTTTTATTCATGCCCAGAGATTTCTATAAGTGGAGAGAATTTGACAATGTTCTTCTACTTATTTTAGTAGGCTTTTTGACCCGTATAATGCAAAATCAGAAATATTTTCCTCGTTTAATTCTTTTGATAAACAATTTACCACTTTAATATGAAAAAAATGCTTATGAAGGTGATAGGAAACTGATATAATAAGGATAACGAACAAGGGAAAATACTGCAATTAATAAAACTGGTTTATGCAATACTCCAACCTGATCTTATAATAATAGAAAAGATGACTATTACAGAAAGGAAAATATTACAATAGGATTCCCCCAAATGATATTACTACACAGGACAATTGGAGAGGCCCTGGTTCTCTCCCAAATTCCAATACCAAATGGTCCCAATATTTCCACGATGCCTTTACACACTTCACATTCCCCATCTTATACTCAGCTTAACCTTCTAGAATATTCTGAAGTTAGTTACGCTACCATATTGGTAGAACATAGTCTCCTACTATCCATCTTACATACACCTACATGAGTATATATATTCCTATCAGAAGGTATACGCGTTCAAGTTGTGCATCACCACAATATGTTATTTGTGCAAGACCCATGCATGTTTGTCACATGTCGTGCTTTGCAGGATGTGCATGGGGGTGTGTGTGACTTAAATGCGTATAAGGTAATGTGCGTCTTGCAGAGCGTGACACATGACAGATGTGCGTTGGGTTTTGTACAATTCACGTATGGAGGTAATGTGCGACTTGAACACACACCTCCATGCATGTTTTTCGCATTAGATTGGTAAATTGTTTGCCAAATGAATCAACGAGAAAAAATATTTCCCTTTTAGAATTAAATAGGTTAAAAATCCTATTTTAGTATTTTTCTTTTTAATTTAACATATTTTGAGTTCAAAATAGCTTATAATTTGGTGCATACTTAGAGCATTTTTGAATTTTTCTCCTAAAATTTAAGCTAATCCAAAAATGCACTAGTTCAAAGTTATCTAAAAAGCCAGTTTTGGTTCTATGTATGCTTTTCTTTCTGTCTTTGAACAAAAAGTGAGGTTATCTTGTAGAACACCATTGTGGAAGTCTTATAGCTTCTGTAAAAGGATTAGTAAGCAAATATGTAATGGAAAGTGGTCTTTTACACTATGAAATGGCAGAGAAGAAATGGCCTGCGATGAAGCAGAGCTTGGAGAAGAAGAATTTGCAGAAAAAATGCTCAATCAACAAAAGTTACAAGAGCAGGTAAAATATCTTAACTTCCATTGAAGCTTTTTGGTACTTGTATACACTGCTAACATAGAGAAAGTAAATCTTCACAGCAACTAGAGATGCTGAAGCACATGCGCAAGTTTCACATGGATGATCAATCTGCCATCCTTGAGAAGGTAAACACTGGTTCCAAAGTACAAGGGAGATTCTTTACTTTTCATCCTTGCAATAAGAAAAGTATAACAGTGGTAATAAGCGTGATTGGTACAGGACAAGGAGTCCATTCGAAAACTTATAAGCAATCTGCTAATATTTGGCTGTCTTAGCTCAGTTAGTTCACCTGAAATATATGAATTATCTTTTCATCAAAATGATTAATCTCCTTGTATGTTGATTGCTTTCTCTATATTAATAAAATCCTGTAATATTCAAATTTTTCAACTTGGTTTGGCTTACTATACACATGTCTTGGCTGCTTGACAATCTTTATAGATGAGAATTCCCCCATGAAAAGTATTTAAATAAAGTAGAAGAAAATGAATTTATTGGATGCATTTGTCATTTGTTCTGCCAGTTACACCAGCAGATGGAAAATGGCAATTATGAAAGCGAGACATCCATTTTGTTTGCTGAGCAGATCGAAGAGATTGTTGTAAGGAAGGTGTCCCCTTTGTTTTTGCCAAGGTAGACCCAGAAGCATGCCTTATTATGGACCCTTTGTTAAATTATGCTGAGGGATATGTTTTGGTTCAAGTTTAGCTATCGTGTGACGGCTATTATGTAGTGTACTTCATTCAGCTGACACTTAACTACATTACTGAATTTTTTGTAGTTATTTTCATCTTTTATAAGATCAGAATTAAAAATGTAGTGCCAAGTTTGTAATTATCATGATTTTTATTCTAAATGCAGTCTTTAAAATTTAAAAATAAATTGTTTACAAAAGTAGAAATAAAAAAAATATTTTTTTTCCTTGAACCAATAAAATCTGAAGTACTTATATCTAAATTCCTGAAGGAATGTACTCCTGCTAAATTTTGTGTTATTTTCTGGTTCTTTTTTTAAATAAATGGAACTTGATATTTTCCAACCCCCCTCCCCCTCCCCACACACACACACACCCCACTGATCTGTTGGTTTTAATCGTAGGCAGTAGATGGGTTAAGAATTAGCTATCAATGTAATATTGTTAACAGAAACCCAGGGCAGGGATAGTTGTAAGGGATTTGACTTGTACTGTCATTCCAAGTAAAAAATAAAGGCCAAAATGAATTCGGTGTAAATTATATAAAATAATCCTGCACTTATGTGTTTTTTAAATTGATTGAAGTAATTAACTCTCTTACACTACACTACACTACACTACATCATTATAATTATATTAAGTTTAAGACAAAATTATCTATTCTTAATTCATCAACCACTATTCCGTCGGCCATCACCTTTAATCGACCACTGCTTGTTGCCACCTGCTGCCGTATGCTGGCCGGTGGTGATTAAACTACACTTTCCTAAAATTGGGCTTTGGTTTGAGGCATCGATCAAATAGAAACGTAGCCATTTTAGGGACCTTGAAATGAACACAGCATGGGGCGTTCTTTGAATTATTCCCAATATCGAGAGCTAGCAAAGGTGTGGCATTCAGGACAAAAAAACCAATAACGATTTGGGGAAATAAATCCTATGTATTTACTTCAAAGAAAAAGGAGTTTAATTCATAAGAGGATCTAGACGATGCAATTGCAAAACAATTTCACTAAACATTTGAAAAGAGAATTAGGATTATCTTTGTGAATACGTGAATTTAGGACAAGTAAATTTGTATTTATATTTAACTTTAAATTATTTAATAAGTTAAAATTACAATATATTTTAGACTACATTAAAAGTAAATTCAATCTAAATCATGTAGCGACAAGTCGATTTTAGAGGTGTGAACTTCACTGCTAACTTTACTTATTATTGAGACAGTAATTTTGTTTGTTTATTTATGGGAATTGTTTTTCTCATTTAATAAGAGATAAAACAATTTTTTTATAAATATATATAGAGGAGAGAGAAAAAAAATAAATAGGTTCCACATCTCCATATGTGTGGTCAAGAGAATTGTTTTATCTAATGTTAAGTGAGAAAACAATTTCCTATTATTTAAATAACAAAAGAGATTTGAGGACTTGTGGAGAATATATATATATATATATATATATATATATATATATATATATATATATATATATATATGGGATAGGATCAACTTACACCAGTGTAAGAATAATAAATCTTACACCAAATCTTAACCATTGATTTCCGTGCATCCAATGGTTGAGATTTATTGGAAATTAAAAATTAATTAATGAGTGAGACCTAATAAATCTTAACCGTTAGATGTAAAAAATCAATGGTTAAGATTTGGTGTAAGACTTATTATTCTTACACCAGTGTAAGATGATCCTGCCCCATATATATATATATATATATGAGGTAGGATCTTTTGACACCGGTGTCAAATTTGAAATTTGACACCTCATCTGAGAGCCATTAGATCAAAAAAATCAATGGCTCTGATTTGTAAGTATGTGACACCGTTGATTTTTCTTGATCTAATGGCTCTCAGATGAGGTGTCAAATTTCAAATTTAACATCGGTGTCAAAGAATCCTACCTCTATATATATATTTGGTAGTTTGAGAAAATAAAATTTAATCTCGGAATGAAAAAGTTTCAAAAGAAATGAGTGCACTTAAATACAGTTCTTAGACAAAGTATGTTTTACAAATTGAACAAGTTATAATGGAATTCAAATATAAGAAATCCACTGTTATCCTATCTTCATCTAAATGTCTTGCATTGAAATAAAAAGTGAGGTTTCATTCCCACAATTATAAAATTTGAGTCCATTGTAACGATAAGAGTTAATTATGTAAATTGTAACATAAGAGGATCACAATCATAAAATTATCGACAAATGTTTGAGTCCATTGTAACGATATTGCACATATGGAGACTGTTTTCATACCAAACATCCGTTTCATATTTTTCAAGACACTCTTACTAGAAGTAAACATTTTAACTTAGGCGTGTGCAATGGGGGACGCATAATTTTTTATATTAGGGAAAAAAAATAAATATTAAAATTATAAATATTGTTAGGAGTTTAGAACTAATAGAAAAGGCTAATTGTTACAAATATTTTTTAGGGAGGGGCAAACTATTTAGTCTTATAATCTATTATTATTACAAAAATACCATTAGATATATAATATTAAAAAAATAAAGGTGAGTGATTAACTCAGTAGAAATCTTCATATTTACATACTGTTCTTGAGAAATGATTTGTAATTCACACTGATCCATTAAATTGTATAATATTTTATTTTATCTGTCAGTTATTTCAATAGAGCCTTTGAAGGACAATCACAAACGAAAAAGGTAACTTCGTTGAAACTTCTGGATAAAAAAGACACGAATAATAGAGACCATAAAACTTCTTGAGCACAAAATGTAAAAAAAGAAAAAGAAAACCTGTTCTTTTAAATATTAAATTGAAGACTCATACAGTAAGAAAAGCTTTATAATTTTAGCAAAAACCATGAGTGGTATCATTGACATTAACAGCGGGTGGGATAACAAAGTGCCAAAGCCTCTTAATACCACCAACCCTATATTTCATGCACAAAAATTCCTTCGCGTACTTTCGCTCAATCTCTCTATCCACGTCATGAAGGAACACGTGCGTCACACCTGACCTTTTCCTCCCACGCGCCATCACCGCCGCGGAATATATCACTGCCATCCTCCCAGGTGCCGCCGCAAAGTACCCTCTTGGCGCGTCAATCATAATCACGTCCCAATCACGGCCGTACACTTCGTCGGGCAGCTCACTCAGTGCTAGATGGCACTGCCGGTTGCCCTTGAGAATGCCGTCTCGGCAATCCTTCTTGTAGGAGGAGAGGAGTGAGTTGGCGTCGGAGAGGCGCGTGGGGTAAAGCACAGTGTGGGCGCGTAGGATAGGGAAGCGCTTGAGGGCAGAGAATGTCCACTTAGGATCCTCCTCGAGAAACAGCGTGGTGCCATGTGGATTGAACGAGTCCCACATGAGTGAGTCGTGACCGATTCCGAAGACGAGAAAGTTGCATGGCGCGAGGGATTGGAGAACTTCGAAGGTTAGCCGGATTTCTCCTTTGGACTGCTGGGGAACCTCACGTGCCGTCGCGTAGTGGAGGATGGCGACGAGGGGGGTTGCCAATGTGTCGAACTCCGCCGCGATGATGGCTTGGGCTGCCGTGAGGGGCGGGGTGTCGTCGGAGCAGGGGTTATTGGACACGAGTGTCCGCCGGGAGTAGAAGAGAAAAAGAATGATGACGACGGCGGTGGCAGTGAGGACGGAGAGAAAGCGTGGGTTGCCGGAATGAGGAATAGTACTGTGACTGTGAGGATGTTTCTTCTTGTGGGAAGACTTGAAAAATGATGGTTGCATGTTGATTTGGTAAAAAGGGTGTGTGAATGAATGGGAGAATGTGGTGGTGATGGAAAAAAGGATGCATGGAGATTGAAAAGAGCGATGTTGTAGTGGTTCAAACTTGACGTGGCATTTCCTCGTTGATGGAGCTGACTTTTCTAAATGTGACCCAAAACCGATACGTTTTCGTGGTTGCAAGGAAGGTATATTTTCTATTCTAAGTGCTGGCCTATATTAATCTTGTATCTTTCTATGTCATTTTTAATGTTATAGCTCTGGTACCACATCGATTGGCATGTCGATTTTATACAAACACTAATTATCTTTGTGAGACAAGTCGATTATTCGAACATGCTTCAATTTTTTGAGTCGGGGATTAATTACGATTTTTCGTTCTTTTCCAAAAAATATATTTACTGTAATATTTAAACTTCTTATTGTACATATTATTGAATTAAATTTAAACTAGTAAATAAATAAAATCTAGATTATAATTAATCTTAGCTTTTGGACATAATACTTTGAAAGTATATAAGAGTTATATGTAATATAAAAGTTCTTCACTTGCAATTTCCTAAAGGGGAATGATTATCTTATACTCATGTAATAATAATAAATTTTATGTTCAATTTTAATCGTTGAATTCACTTGTATTTAATTATCCACATGAATAATAAATAAAAATTATTACGTGCTACTGAAATTAACAATTATAATAGATATAAGACTTATAATTATACTAGTATAAGTGGGTTATTCTCCTTTTCTAATTTTAATATATATATATATATATATATATATATATATATATATATATATATATATATATATATATGTATATGGGGAAGGTTATACTTACAACCTATTTTCGTTTACAACTTCTTATAATCATATCTTAACCGTTGATTTCCGTCAATCAACAGTTAAGATTTTCGCAAATCAAATTTATTAATTAATTATTAATTCGCAATAAATGACAACCGTTGATTGACGGAAATCAACGGTTAAGATATGACTGTAAAAAGGTTGTAAAAAAAAATAGGTTATAAATATAACCTTCCCTTATATATATATATATATATATATATTAATTTTCATTTATATCTCTTTTTAACTAAAGATCGGAGATGTCAGATAATATGTTTGCAATATGCAAGGAGTTGAAAACAAAAAGCATTTTTTTTTTTTTTTGATATACTGATTGTGGAAACAATCCCAAAGGCTAGGAAGAAGAAATACAATAAGGTCTACTACAATCGCCTAAATCTGCTAAATACAATAAGGATGTGCATGACAATCATTCTATTCTCTAGCACTGTTTCTGAAAAGAAACAATTCTTTTATATTTCTGTGCCTTGGAACAGTTTCTGAGAAAAAAAATATATTTGATAACATGTTCTATTTTGATTCCGAGAATGAGAATTGATAACACAACAAATAATATAATAAAAAAATTTCTATTAAATATAAAAAAGTTTCAGATCATCACTTTCCTTTCCATATGGTGTGGTTGTGGTGGTGGCAGCGGCGGGTGGTGGTGGCGGCCACGGTACGGTAGTGGTGGTGGCAGTGACGTGGTGAACATAGTGGTGGTGGTTGACGACAGTGGCTGCGACGATGGCGGTAATGGTGGCATGGTGGTAGTGATAGGTGGAGGTGGTGGTAATGGTGACGGTGGCATCGTGGTGGTGAGGGGTGGTGACGACGGCACTAGTTGTACGATGGCGGCTGCGACGATGGCGGCGACAGTCATGTCGGGATGATGGTGGTGGTGGTGATGATGGTAGATGTAATAGCCCGTTGTACACCGGTATTGTTAACATTAATTATGATATTAAGCGCAGTTACAATCACAACAATTCATTTATAAAATTACGAATAAACTTTTTCCGTTATTACGCGAGCATTTAAAACAATAAAAGCGTAATAATTAAAAGCTGTGACCGTAACTGTAAACTCTTTGCGGAATACTTATTTAGACTACTTTTATAACTTATTTTACTTAATACAAGTCACTAAGGGGTTCCCGTAAACTCGCTTAGTATAGTTCTCACTTTTACGTTTTCTACCTATCCAAACATGGTTCGGTATATTTATTTATATTCACTCAACTTTCTTCGTGTTCATCTCATATTTTATAATCATTTACGGGACTTAATTACCCTTCTAAAGAGCCATCGCACGAGGTATTTCGATCTCGTTTGCTCCGGATATCACCGTTTGAAGTTGGACAAGCAAAACTGCCAACCAACCCCAAAACAGCTCCAAACGTCCCTCACTCCACGAATTACTGCAGATAAACCTCTCAATCAATTGCTCTCAAATTTTTATACCATAAACTAGACACCTCAAGCTTCAATTTGATATATCATACACTTAACTTGACTAAGAAACGAAGCGGGAATTAATTTCCCAAAACCGGTCCAGAACCGCCACAAGTACAGTGAGCATTTGGGCAGTCTGCACTCTATGCCTTCTCCAGGCCGGCGTTCAACCCAGATTTCTCTCAAATTTTAGCAGGAGATAGGGGACATCTCAGGCTTCAAAATAGCATATGGAACGTCACTATCGGACCTCTATGGAGGGAGATATGCTCTCCCTAAGTTCATCTAAATTCTGCCAATTTACCGAAAATTCGCCAGAGTTTCCTTTGTTTTTATAACAATCCCCAAATTTGCAAATGCTTTCTAATACCTCACATGTACCTAATAACCAATGGGTGGCACACACAAGGACCAACAATGCCTTGGGGCACTTATAACCCAACTCAGTTTATAATTATTACACAATTCATACCATATTGCTCACTTTATTAATCCTTGACTTATTTCAATCACCAATGTCCATTTACATGCATTTTCTAAACATATACATAATCATAATCCTAAAATAGGCCTAAGGCCCTTCCATCATATTACAAGTACTTCATAATTACATCAACTCATGCATAATTTACAAGGCTTCACATGACATATTACACTTACAACTTAAATCTCCAAATAATACATGATAAAGAAACTTCCAAATGACATAATACAAATACAACTAAACTTAGGCAAAAATAACATGAACAATATGACTATAACTCTCATCTTATCAACATATACATGTTCATGCCCTAAGTCTAGCCTAGGCCCAATGGCCATCAAAATGCAAAATACTAATGATACTCCGGCTAGTCATCCTACGGGCTTCTTGCCCGCTGCTCCTGCACCACTGCTACCTCCTGAAATAATGCCCCCAAGACGGGGTGAGATATACGAATATATCTCAGTAACCAAGAGGTTCTGGAGAAAACTCCGCCCAATGACTCACTTCGATGCATATAAATAATATAAATAACATCTTGAAAACGGGATAAAACAAGGGATTTAGAGAAACTGGGGAAACATAGGAATATAAAATACGACGAAACGGGAATGGTAGCTACCAATACCACGCAACGTCCTGCCTAATGGCTCGGCATATAAGTCTACGGGACTCATCCAAGGCGTGTTTCAAGACATCCAACCAAGGTACCCTCCATCCATATACACCCGAGACTTCCTAGTGTGCTCCTATCCGAATCACACACCACGACCCTAGGTCAATTAGAACTCCCTCATGGAGACCTATCCAGTGGAAGTCCGTAACTGTCTACTGGCCAGAGACTCGGTACGTTCTATGTACCAACACACATACAAAATGCATGATCATGTTATTTTACATTACTTACATACATTTCCTACCATCACCCTCAACGGGCATGATGGAACACACAAGGAGATCAAGCCCCAGTACCAAGAGGTTACCTGGAAAAAGCTCAATTCCAAGCTTGCTTGAATTTCACGTATTTAATCCAATGCCTCTAAACTTCTTCTTCAACCTTTGTACCATCAAATTACAAGTTATATCAACTTATGCCACCACACAAGTCAAAGACAATTACCCAATGTTTTCAAGATTTAATACATATTAACACATCTTTCAAAACCACAAGTTAATACAAGTTTCCAAACTAACCTTCTATATAGCATGTACTTGAATTTACTTGCTAAATGTAATCAGACACTTATGTGAATTTACTTTCATTCCTAGATCAATTAATCCTATAGTGGCCGAATTGCACCACTTAGAAACTCCAAGAATTTGACTTGTTTTCCTATTCACATACCTTAGTTAATTCCTTGTTTGATCACTAAGTAGTCTTATATAAATTATTACATAACTTTTTCATCAAAACTCTAACATAAACATAGTCTACATCCTAAACTTAATTAAGATTTCACACTTTATGTTTGGTTCAAATACTAGCCAATCATCATTAAATGTCATAAGGATCATTGTTTTACATGAACAATGAATTAAACACTTAATTTGCACAATTAATTCTAAAGGGCCGAAATACACACACTTTTTACAGCATCAACATCATGTGCCATTTTAATCACGAAAAATTCATCTTAACTCCGATTCCCCTGAATTTTTGTTAAGTTATAGTAGACACTTAAGGCTTTAATTTGGCACAAACCACACTCCATTTGGAGTCCTGTAGCTTCAGATATAAATTTTTTAACATAACAGCCCCTATGTTGATCCTAAAAGGTCCATAAGGTTCTTTTGAAATTCCTATACTTCATTCTTTTTACAAACCAACTCTAAATCATATTACACTTATATTTCCACATACAAACTTGATTAAACACATCCTTTAACTATTTTATCACATGATGACCGATTTGCCTAGCTTAAGGTTTAATGAATTCTCTTTCAATTTTTCTATCACTTGAACCTTCATCAATGCATAGACTATCTTTTATTTCATGTAGACATATTATCAAACACTTGGTGTGCATATTTTTACACACAAAATCTGAACCATATAGGATTCATTAAACTCATCTCTTTTGATATTTCAATTCCTTTTTGTAGTAGAAAAAGTCAATCCATCACAACAACTCATTAACCAACTTAACATCAATAAAACTACTTAAATTCATCATCAACCAACATTAAAATATCAACATAAACAGCCCCAA